CAGTATCGTATAGGACTGTATAATTAAGAATTGAGCAGCATTAAAGACAAGAAGATGAAAAAACGACCCCGGACTAACGCGACGAAAGAAGAAGACGCTATATAGACTTTGAATTAGAACTTTAGCTATCTGTGTATTGCTTAGAGAACCGCTCACTGGACACTGTAACTGACACTGTGTAACTCAAGGACGTTGAACTCTTTTCCAGAAACACAACACTATTGCTCAGTAATGTAATGTATTGCTTGCTTTTTCCTATCGTTTTTACCGTTTTTTTTGTGGTGTCGAATTGTATGTATGTAAGCGCCCAGATCTTTGTTTCGAACTGATATTTGGTGACGTTCGAGGTCCTTTATAACGATTTAAGCGCGCCTCAGTGGACAAGTATTTGCAACAAAGTGTTTTGAGTTTTGTGAAGTTTTATGGTGTTTTAATGAGTTTTTCAGAGTTTTGAGATTTGTTGATGTACAGAGATACCGACGTTTTAAGAGTTGTTTTTGTTTATGTGTTGTTTCAGGAATACTTCTGACGCTTTTTGAGTTGAGAGCACTTTGTAACGTTTTTTAATATCTTTTTGGAATGGAGGTGGTGCGTCTATATACGTATTGTGTGATATCGCAAGCTTTTGTTCATGATGGACAGCCTTATATGCAACTTAGTAGTTTCTATCGTTTTGCCTTTCCCGTCTTTTTGCCAGAGGAGTAATGTGTTATGATAGCTTTGTCTTTGCATTCCGTTTCCACGCCATATGACTTGTGTTTAGATTAACGACTTGTGAGTTCAGTTGAAGTTTATAAGCGTATGTGACAGGACTTTGATTAATAGCTTGTTTTTTATTCATTGTTTATTAGTTACCGCTTTGCAATGCTTTAACTGAGAGACGCATCCCTGGTAATCACGTGATCATGCTGTCGACTGCAGCGATTGGCTGATCGCTTGGTTACACCGCCACGCCTTAGTTTTTTTTGACCTTTTGATATAGAGTTTGTAACCTTAGTAACGAGAGACAGTGCAGCGAAGTGTTACCTCAGCGAACTGTTTTGAGAAAAATGAGTCGATTGGTAGCCTTTCCCTTGTTTTAGATTTATAACCGTTGATATTTGTGACTTTATTACCATTGTATTTAGACTTTATAATCAGTTTCTTAATTAGTGTGTTTTACTCTTTTTGATTTATACCTTTTATTAGTATTGTATTTAACCCTATGATGATGAGTGGCTGACGGTATCTTTGATTTATGAACGTGTTATGCCAGGAGGCATATCTCAGTTTGGGTGAAGGGATGTATCATGAATTAGTTTTCGCGTATCTGTTGACCGACTTAATTAGTTGATTATTAGCGAATTGCTGTGTTATGTCTGTCATCGTTTAGGCCTATTTGAAGTTTTGGACGGAACTTGGCTCAGTGATTTGGAACTAATTACGAGATAACTGTCGCTATTCTGACTATTAATTCTGACAGTTGGTATTCATAGTTATTAATGTAGTGAACGATTAATCAAAAGATATGACGTATTCAGTACTTAGTGAGATTGGCTGTATGATTGAAAGTTACGCCCTAGAGTCTTTTTACTGTTTTGTAATTGGTTAGAGTTTTGAAAATGAATAAAGAGAGTTTGAGTTGGTCTTGGCGAATACTCCACGAGAGACGCAGTTTAAGTCGAGTCCTGGAGAGCCTTGAGGCGAGTGTTGACGCAGTCTAAAAGAGTCTTGGGTCAGCCTTGTGATAGTCTTGGGGATTTTTCCCCAGGGCGCTGTGTCTTATAGAGTGCTCGATTGACCGACTAAGACGAGAGTTGAAACGTATTTCATTGTGTGTGTCTTATTTGACTGTAAAGTATAAGTGACTTCCCCGATCCCGCACCTCAAGAGAGACGAGACGAGATTCCCCCCTGGCAAGTGTGGAGAACCCCAGAGGAAAAGAATTTCCCCCTGATACACAATTGACTCGTCGCAAACAAATGGTGATGACCTCGATTTGACAGATTAAAAAGATTTATTATGTATTTTCGCACTATAAAAGAAAATAGCTAACTTCCTCCAATTCAACGCTGTAATTGACAAGTGCAGATGGCAGTTACTAGGTGAATAGAAGTGGAATCTATGACGGGTTAGTAATTGAGGCAATGGTCAGTGGAAGGGCATATCCTGTAAGAGGAAACGTACGTAAACGTGTATGTTAGGCATGGATATGTATGATTGATGATGGTGTACAGGAAATTGAAGCTGAAACATGAAGTCGTTGTCACTATTACCAGAATATATTTTCGCAATATTTGCTTACTGTACATGTGACTGAATTAAGAATAAGAACGTTAGACAATATGACAGAGTGACATGGAACCTTGAGATAACTTTGACCTTTTCTTGAAAGATCTTGACGGAGGGGTGACCTCCTGACCCCAAAACATATGCAATCAACATGTGACCTTGAGATGACCATGGCCTGGGGTCACTTTTAGCATAATTTAGCATGATTGTTTTTTTCGGAAAGAATTGCAAACTAGAAAACTCGTTGGGATAAAAAGAATGTACCAGCGATTGAGACAACATCACTATATGCTAGTTAATAAGTATATTCATTCATGACATATGATGTTGACATTCTTCTATAATATTGAATACATACATTTATGAAAAACGTTGCTTATATCGTTGATATTTCTGCATTTATTTGTGATGCTTAAAAGGCATGGTGGCAGATTACAGATAGAATGGTGTCACAGTGTAAGGCTTGCTTATCGCTATTTAGAGGGGCACCCATAGAACTCACACTGAACAGGGGGGTCACTAGTAGACAAGACAGTAGTACTGAAAATGATACACGCATTCACCAAAATATCAAGTTAAAGCTCCTGGCTTTAATACCCCTAAAAATAATTACAAGAAACAAGCACAGAATAATACAATGAATAAATTCACTGAGGTGATTACCTAGGGAAGTGTGCATTGGTGATAACTCACAGTTCCAGGATGCGGAAATTGATGACAGTCAATAACTTCTGCAACACAACGATGACAAAATACAGGAGTCTTGCTTGCAGAGGAAAACAGTTATTCTGGAGGGCACTGCTGATAGCAGAAGATTGCAGAGCAGTTAATACAAGTCAGAATGATGGTTGTATCACGTAGCAACAACATAGAGAATACCAATTGAAATGGTGGTCTCAAACTGTCCTCAATCTAGCCGATTTAAAGAGCATAAAGTTTCAGGTACATCACCTGTGTTTCCACAGGAGCCAATCCATTACTATATATGGTAGGAGTTGATACATTTCTCTGTGTCCAGTACGTATAGATACATATTAGACATGACACACCTGGTAGAGCTATGGTAATGTGTGATGCACATTAGAACGCCATTCGACCTGATGTACATGTGTGATACAAATCTGGATATACATTTTTAGGTATGAACATGCAAGACACACAACACAATTCCTTCCTTTGGTAGATGTGATGTCAGCGAAATGATTATATCCATTTTCTCAGAGAACAGGGCGAAGCATTTGCAGAGTTCAAGTCTCATGTTTATATGTATATGTGAATGTAATTTCGAACTAACAATACCATCTACCTCTCATTGACATGGGCATCGAGAAGTGCTTTTATTAGTAAAGGTATGGACAAGCACATAAAAATGAGATTCAAATCGAAACTCGTAGACATGGGCCATTATACAGGAATGCTGAATTCACAGCAAAACCATTTGGTTAGGATATATAAGATTCAGTTATTGTGTTTAAAGCAGAATAGCTATAAATTTTATTTTAGATTACCTTGATGCTTCAGCCATGTGTGCAGTTATTGTCCTATACATTATCTTCTCCCGGGTCTTCCATGTGATAAAAGACACACATGCTCTGGTGATGCAGTCAACCTTACTCAAACTAAGTGGCAAATATGAGCACTATGAACATGGTAAAATGACCATTATTTCATCAGCACTTTATGAATGAACTTTAGGAATTCATACCGAACTGTGTCAGATATCCACTTGGCTGCTTAAAAGGCTGTGTCCATATTATTTGGTTCCAGTGCTTTTAAGGTTCATTGGTATCTATGCGAAATATGCCATTTCAGTTTAGTTATAGGGCAGCTCAAGGTGCTATTCATGGGTCCACATTGACATTGGGAACTCACTGGCAGCATTTCAGTATTGACAATTCCTATACTAAGACCCCTATTGAAGAAAACTAGTCCTACCATGCCTATGCCCAGACATATATTCATGTAAAGCACAATTTTTGGTACTTTTATCTGGTAACTGTCTGTGAGTAAGAACATTAGTTCCTATCAGAACAATGCGATAAGTGGATGGCAACAGGCTACTTAGGAAATAATGAGGATTCTCCCATGAGGATTGCACGAGTCATACCTGCCCTTTTAAATATACATAATATATATATAATAATTATGATCCTACAAAACCTGACAGGACATCTTTGAAGTGGCCACAGCCCTAGCTACGTTGTGTCTTACCATCAATATGGACGCACTGTATACTATTAAAATCATATAGGTGGAACAAAGGATTTATTGATAAGAAAATTTAACTCAGATCCCAATCAAACTTGTTCTTTAACAATGACAGCACACAACAATGAATGCGTCGAAAGAAATCAGTGAGCTCTATTCAAAAAGAGGAAACATGCAATACGTTTAAAAAAAAGACAAACAATATTTTTCACAGAAATTAGTTTTCTTAGAAATGTACATTTGATTTGCATTTATGAATTACAATATCACAACAATTTGTTTCCATGAAAAAGTAACAAAACAAATTGAGATAATCGATTGAAGCTAATGTGCTCACTCTTACTGAAAGTCCTGACATCACTTAATTTTCACCATATAGTTTTTTTGGACATATCTTTTGGATATGTTATTTCTTCTTCACTATTTATTAATATGATAATCATTACGTCCACAGTTGACACACAAATACACAATTAAGCCATACACAAATCTTATAGGTAATAACAATTTTATTTAAACTCAAAATCAACCAATAACATCCCCAGAATATATCACTTATTGCTAGCTGAGAGTAGCTATATGAACACATTATTGTATATTTCGATGTGCAACGCTTACATCTCGGTTAAACACGTGCATGAATACCATGACAAATGGCATAACAAAAGTAAATCACTTTTTTTGCTTTTTTGCATTATTTTTCTTTGTCACTTTTTTACTACCTCTTTCACTATTTTGTTTTCTCTTCTTTGATCTGGTTTTTATTGTTGTTTCATTTTCTCCTTCCACAAGTACTGGCATATTAAGTTTGATGTCATTGTTAGGTACTGAACTAATAGTCTCATCTGCTGTACTGGCCTCTGTGAAACAACCACGTCCAGTTTTGTAAAATTCAGTATTTCATAATAACAATGATTTGATATGGGTACATATAAATGTTGTACACATAATAATTACACAAGTAACAAAAAGCCATTATCCAAAAGGTTCTAACAAGTTCTAAAACTTTTTATAAACAAACTTGATGAAAGTGAAACATCAAGAACACCTACATGGGAGTCAGATAACATATAGAGTAAGCATCCACCAAAAAATCATGTCAGTGGAAAAAAGTCAAATGAAAGTGATAGGCAAACATATGTTTGTATATTGTAAATATTCCAGCAAATCTCAAATCCCTTTATAGTGTTTTCCTCAAAAAAAAATAGATAATGTTCTATACAATGAGATAATAACTAAAATTAAACTGTCACAGACACCATACTAACAAAAGATTCATTACAACTTGTAACTAAACACTCAAAATCAAGAGACTGCCAACATTTTAATGGTTTGAAGAACTAAGAAAACTGATTACCTTGATTGCTCAATTCATCCATTTCATCAAAGTTGACTTGTTTTCTTTTCCTTCCTCTTTTCACCTTCTTTTTAGGAGACTTTTCAGGAGAGTCAGAAATGTTCTGTCGATGTCGTCGTGATCGGGATACCTGAATGGATATCAATGAATATAGTGTTAGGACTTGACATACATACTAAGCTGAATGGCTTTCGGTTTTTTAATCTGATATAAACTTGAGAATGACTGATATGGTTGTCAACATGGTATGGTGTTTCCCCAAGAATATGAGCAGTGAACATAGTGAGTCTTCACTTATTTAAGGCCATAGGCCCATAAAAGTTGTACAGGTAGCTTATGTGAAAACAAAATAATAATATATATGTACATTTACAATCATCATATTAATATTACAACAATTCTGTAATTTCGCTCCTTAACTTTAGGGCTTGAAATACAAAAGCTGCAAGCCACATGAAAATATTTTTATCTTCTGATTTCATTAAGTCAATGAACTTATTAATTAAAAGTAGGTGGGTTATAAAAAAAAATGTGGTAAGTACATGTACTTGTCTTTGAGGTTTGTAAAAAATGTACAGACTAAAAGAAAATTATATTCATTTTCATTTTGGTTCAAGTCACAGAGAGTACAAACCCTTTGATCTCTTTCCGTTTTTCCTCGGTTAGCTTCAATAAGCAAACAATGGGCTGAGCAACAGAATCTTGATAAATAGCTTCTATGTTTAAAAATATTAACTGAAAATATATAATGCTCAGGTGTAATTGTAGTTATGAAATCTCTGTAAGTTTCTAATTTATTCATTGTACATATGTCCCCAACCCATTCACGATGCAAGAAATATTTGAATCGTTCGCAAAAAACATCCATAAATATATTGATATTTTTAACCTCCTGGGCATGCCACGTTTCATCTAAGTTACATAGAAATAAGAAGTTTTTCACTTCAGCTACCCATGTATTCTTTGATCTCAACCCTGACTCTTCTATGTTATACAACATATTGTAACATTTGCGTGGATACCTGGAAGGTGGCATATTGACAAATTTCGCCCAGCATTTCACACACCGCTTTGCTGTATAAAAGTAAATGGGATATCTCCCACATTCACCCAAAACACTATTATTCGGAGCTCTGTTTGAAATGCCTAGAAATCGTCTGCATGCATATTACTGGACTCGCTCTAAAGTGTCATAAATAAACGTTGCAACCCTACTATTAAATCAGAGAACATTATTACATCATCCATGAATAATAAGCAAAATAATGAACATACATTGACATAATTAAAGACAAAACAGTACAGAAATGGTACAAGTGGTACAATCTGTACTGGGAAAAGTTGATCATAACTATGGGTATCACTATGACACAAGCAAATGTGATTGAGATTTCTTCAAACTCATTACAATAAACAAGATATCAGGGAACACAGAAATGTTATTCACTGCACTGTGGCTGATTCAGTTGAGGTGACAGGGAATATAAAGGTTACCTGGACCATGACATAAAGTGTTTGACTTAACCTGAGATAACTGAGAATATAAAGGTTATCTGGACCATGATTTGAAGTGTTTGACTTAAGCTGAGATAACAGAGAATATAAAGGCTACCTGGACCATGACATAAAGTGGTTGACTTAAGCTGAGATAACTGGGAATATAAAGGTTACCTGGACCATGACATGAAGTGATTGACTTAGCTGGGATAACTGGGAATACAAAGGTTACCTGGACCATAACATGAAGTGGTTGACTTAGGCTGAGATAACTGGGAATATATAGGTTACCTGGACCATGACATGAAGTGATTGACTTAGCTGGGATAACTGGGAATACAAAGGTTACCTAGACCATGACATGAAGTAGTTTACTTAAGCTGGGAAAACTTAGAATATAAAGGTTACCTGGACCATGACATGAAGTGGTTGACTTGTGCTGAGATAACTGGGGATATAAAGGTTACCTGGACCATGACATGAAGTGATTGACTTAGCTGGGATAACTGGGAATACAAAGGTTACCTGGACCATAACATGAAGTGGTTGACTTAGGCTGAGATAACTGGGGATATAAAGGTTACCTGGTCCATAACATGAAGTTGCTGACTCAAACTGAGATAACAGAGAATATAAACAATACCTGGGCCAAGGTTTGAAGTGTTTGACTTAGCTTGAGATAACTGGGATTACAAAAGTTACCTGGAATTACAACAGAACAAAAATCCTGCGTCCTACATTGAATGACAACTCACCTGGCTAACACCTGCAAATGATCGTTTCTTTATTTCAGCTATTCTCTTCCTCCTAGATGAAGCCTCATTATCATCACCATCATCAGAATCAGAATCCTCATCACTACCATATGTTGCCTTGGCACCCTGTTTACTCTTTCTTGACAATTCTCTCTTCTTTTTTCTCCACTCCTCATGTTCATCAATAACTCTGATGACAAAAAAGAATGTTGATGATCAATTAACCAGTGTTAACAATGTGTCTGATGACATACTTTGGGTTAGCGAATCATATCATGGTATTTCAGTCCAAGCATGACATACAATCTGCCAGTATGAATATATAAAACTTGTTAGGTAAATCTTTGCTTCGAAATGCAGCATAGTGTTTCACTTATTTGTTTGTTTGTATGCATGAAACAGTGGTGACATTAAAGCGTGGTGGTCGCCACACTGCGCATGTGCAACATTTGTGTTGATAAACATCGATCTTCCCATAAGCTAATGCGTTCTTCTAATGGAAATCACAAGTATGAGGTTTGACCTGTGCGCGACTTGAACTAATTACCGCTGGTGACTCCTTCAATACCTTCCTAAAATCTACCTATCACTTAAAAATACCTATTAAAGCTTGGTAACGTCTCAGTTTGTACTCGGTGATCGGCACAACAAACAAAGTCACCAACTTTGTTTATATAAGCCTCATAAATCTCGCGCATACATGGCGCGACGACTACCGCGCTTTAAGAACCAACTATAGGTTATTGACATAATCCTACAGAAAATCATGTGCACCAAAACCAGTAAATAGTCTATTAAATATATTTACCAAAAAAATAAATTATATTACATAATTATATGTAATGCAGTTTACTTTGTTGCACCCTTAAAAATATACTCAGTATTTCCACTGTAAATATGCAAATGAACAAAATAAGCATCATATTTGTTCATTTTGTGTTTGTGTATCTTTATACAATGTATGTGCATTCGTTGAAAAACCTATTAATGTATATTATTGTAGAACATCGGACACAAAAAATATGATTTTAGAACAGTGAATCTGTAAGCTTACGATAGCTATAATGTGTCTGACGAATAGTATTTTCACTGCCGATATGCAAATTAGTATGTTATTTAATGATATGCAAATTACATGAGCTGAAAATCATATTATTATGTAACCTCATATTATTTTGCATTTTAAGTCAAAAAAAAGTACGCCTCTATTGCAAAAATAGCTGTATTTTAATAAATAACAAATGTTATGTAACCAATATGTACCATACTTGCCTTGTGCTAAATTACTAGTGCAATGGTTTCAGAGAAAGACCCTAACAGCTAATTCTTACCTGGATATTTGTTCTGCTATCGGTTCCTTCACCATATCAAGTGACCTGTCAACCACATCACTCCCAGATATTGCACACTTCAAACTCTGGTATTTGTCATGAATTCTCTGTAATTGCTGAGAAAAAAATGTAAAATTCCTAATATGAATACACACCATACATCTTACCGTCATTATAACGACACACATTGGAATAACTTTTCAATATGGATGCAATATGAACTCAATTAAAACGTGTTCCTATATACAGTTGTAGGGTTGCGTTTTTAATTGGACTTAATGCAATACAACGTAGAATTGCGTTTTAATTAAATAAAAGTTGAATATCCTGTGACTGAACATAGAAATGTTTGCGAAGCTTAGGTTTAATAAATATTAATATAAATTGAATCATAACTTCCCTCTTACCTAAACCTAAACTACGCAAACTTGACTTAAATTCAATTAAATATTAAAATAAATTATGAAAATAGTGAGGGTCATCACAATGCAAGTCCTGTCGTCACAAGTTGGTGTAAAGTTAAATTGAAGTCGTCAAAACGTTGTTACCACACATGCACAAACACAGACACACAAAGACTAAACTATGAGTCCCTGTTCTGTCTGAATGGGTACTGACCAAACAAGGCAATTAAAAATCATGCCGTAATGGGATGGAACTAGACTGTGTACTGGTGCTGCAATAGAATCTACAGATGTTCAGCGAATAACTGATATCGTCATGAATGCACAATCTGATAGAGATCCACCAAATGTAACTACATACCAAGTATCAACGAAATTGTGCTAGTAGTTTTCAAGAAGAAGTTGAAAGTGCAATTTTTGACAGACCTCGGATGGACGACGACGGGCAATCATGCACCTATAAGAACAGCTCTGCTCTGTCATCTACAATGACAGCAAACTAATAAAAGCATTTACCTCCAGTGGTTCACCTTCAAATACATCTGATAAGACACTGGGTCGGTCTAAATTAGACTCAATATCAATAGCATCCATCTGATTCTTCTCTTGCACTACCTAAAAGACAGAAGCGATGTAAAACGTCACATTCAGTGTTGCTGGTACTATTACCATAATGAGAAATATTCTATGTTGTTCCAATGTTTTGAATTTTACGAATAATGAATATAATTTTATTCACCACATGTATCATGCAATATGTATCGGTGACAAAAAGTCTTGTAATATTATTATTACCAAGATACCACATGAAAGTATGCACGCAGACAGTACAGCTGGAATATTGACCGGCGTGCAGCAGAGGTCATTGCGCAGCATACTGTCTGAGTGCATACTTTTAGGTATCCTCGTAATAATACATCTTTTCCTTCCAAGGATACACCATGGGAATGCCGCAATCCAAACAATTTAGAACAGAATCAGTGAACTTCTTTATGTGGAGTCCAGCCAAACTCTGGGGGCAGCCATGTTTGTTTTTATTATTAGAGGACGCTTAAGCGCGTAATCATTTCATATTTGGAATTCAAATTTCCTAATACGGTAGGATGAAAATACCCTGTAAAATACCACAAAATTATGGCACGCTGTAACTTTTCCTTATTTTAGACCATTCCCATGGTGTATCCTTGGAAGGAAAAGATGTATAATAATAAGGTTATTACGAGGATACCCCAAAGTATGCACTCAGACAGTATGCCACGCATCGACCAATGTGCATACTCCAGCTGTACTGTCTTCGTGCATACTTTTAGGTATCCTCTTAATAACCTCATATTCATTTCTGAAAAGTTAATTGTTTGAATAAAAATATTATTAATATTTATATTGCCACATTATGTAATACTTGAAGAACCAAATGTTCAAATTACTTTAACTGATCAGAATTAATACAATACATGTACAAATGTTTACTTTAGGAATGATAAAATGAACATTATTTTTTATCCACATTCAGTGAATGAGGTTAGGCTCTGTCTGGGCATGCAGCAATTAATTCTCACTTATAAACATGTTCTACCATTGAAGCATTAGCTGCTGTATTTTTACAAATAGATCTGTACACTTCCATTTTTTTTAAATATGTTCCATTTTGTTTCATTATCTGGAATTTCAAAAATCATAAAAACATTTTTTTATTTCAATGGATCATATTTTCTTTATTTCACATGCATTAACTTTGTAATCTGCATGAAGTAATGATAATATTGTATTTGTGTCGCAACAAAAGGTATTTGTTCATGCCAAAGAGATCCACATTTATGTTGACTTTGTGAATGTAAAAGTTATTTTCAGACTGAGAAGACAAACAATGTCAGTGACAAAAAAAAGATGGCTGACCAAGAACAAAGCCAATTTAGACGAAGGTTCTACGAACCCGTCTATTCACATAGTTCATACCCACCATAGACT